ACTGGTCTGTGGGTCTGTTCTTGTACCAGTGCCAAATTGTCTTGATTACTGTGGCTTTGTAGTAGAGCTTGAAGTTGGGGAGTGTAATCCTGCCCACTTTATTCTTCCTTCTCAGGACTGCTTTGGCTGTTCGGGGTCTTTTGTGGTTCCATATGAATTTTAGAACTATTTGCTCTAGTTTGTTGAAGAATACTATTGGTATTTTCATAGGGATTGCACTGAATCTGTAGATTGCTTTAGGCAGGATGGCTATTTTGACAATATTAATTCTTCCTATCCATGAGCACAGTTAAAAATATGGGAATTTCCATGCTGGAAAATATTTTTATTTTGCTCTCATCTCTGATTGGATGTGAAATCTAAGTTTGAAATCATTTCAAGTCAATACTCCAGTAACTTTTAGAATTTTGTCTGATGAGAACTCTTACATTAAACTACCTGCATTTAAATAGTTTGTTTTTTTTTCCTCTCTAGACACTTTTAGGACCTTCTCTTTATAATTCATTCCCCAAATTGTATGATTTAAAAACTTCCAGGTGTGAATTTCTTTTTTATAAGTTATGTCTGGCATTGGTGAGCTTATACCCTTCTCTGAATCTGGAACATTTTCTTCTCTTCTTATAATTTCTTATTTAATAAAGTCCTTTTCTACTTATTTATTTGTTTGCATATTTATTTTCTTTCCTTCTGGGATTTCTTTTAGTCAAATGTTGGAATGCTCCTCTATAGCTGTATCTCTACTTTCATGCTTTTATATCTGTTTATGTCATTATTCTATAGTTTTATTTTACATCTTTCACTTTTATTTTCAGTTTGTTTGTTAGCTTATTAGCAAACATATTTAGGATGTAAGTGACCTTTTCTGCGCTCTGATTGTTCTTTTGCCATAGAGCAGTGTTCTTGTTTCATATATACAAAACCTTCGTGAATCCCTCTGCCAATGTATTTAATTTTGCTTGTACTAGATTTAGTATTCTTTGAATGATCCATTTTATCAGGATCTGTTTGTTATTGCAATCTTAGTTCTTCATGCTACTGGTTTTATGTATTGTTGCAAAATCATTGGTTTTAGAATAAAGAACTGGATGCCTTACAGGGATTTCCTTGATGATTGTGCAAATACTTGTCCTCTAAAGGCCTCTCTTTAGTGGACCTCTCCTGGTAAGGTCTGTGAATGTTGTTGAATGATCTTTTTTAATGTGAACAGAAAGGATTAGGACTCTCAATGTCTTGAAGATTAAACTTTGCTTATTTTCTGGGAAAAAGTTCCTATACTAGATATCTTAGCTAGCTTTGCATGATTTATGGCTTTATTTAAACAAAGCTAAAAACTCTGTGGGGAAAAAAAACACTTGTCTTGTTCTACAGTAAATCTCCAATATGTAGCACTGTATTTGTGTTACAGAGTAAGAACCCCAAAATGGAGACATAATCTAAGTGAAATTTTTTAGTATCTTTGGAGAAAATCAACTGACCACACACATTAAAGTCTGTTTCTGTACTACATTCTGTTTCATTGATCTATGTCTCTCTCCTTTATGTGAATACCAATTTTCTTAATTGCAGTAACTTTATAATAAAATCTGAAATCAAGTAATATGTTTTTCAACTCAGTTCTAAATTCTTCAATGTGTCATGACTATTTTTGGTCTTGTGAATTTCTGTCCAAATTTTAAGTAATATTGCCAATATCTACAGTTGGCTATTGAATAAAATGTTTTGAAATGCATGGGTCCACATATATGCAGAATTTTTTCAGTAAGTAATTTAGAAAGGTTTTTGGAGGTTTGCAATAAGTTGAAAAACTTGCATATTGACTGCATAGCTTAGAAATGTTGAAAACAGTGAGAAAAAGTTAAGTATATCATGAATGCATAAAATATATGTAGACACTAGTCTATCATTCAGTACCATAAAATACACAAAAACCTATTATAAAAAGTTAGAATTTATCAAAACTTATACACACTAATGCTTACAGACTGTATGTGGCACTGTTTGCAGTTAAAAGATATGCAAACAAGCATAAAGTTGCAATATTAAATCATAGCTGCAAAAAATTAACTACAGTGCAAGTGTAGTACTGTAATTTTGTAGCTACTTCCTGTTGCTACTGCAGTGAACTTAAGTTTTTGCAAATGTCTGCTTAAAATGCCATGCAACATTAATCATCTCTGTATAAGTTCATCTCTCCAGTAAATTGTGCATCACAGTCAAAAGTAATCTCCTACAGTTCTTGCATATTTTTTGTTGGGTTTAGTGCAATACCATAAACGTTGAAGAACACCATGGGCTTTATATGAAATGCCACTAGTGATGCTGGTAGTGCTCCCAAGAAGCAGAGAAAAGTCATGACATTAACAAGAAAAAGCTGAATGGCTTGATATGTACCAAGATTGAGGTCTACAGTAGCAGTTGCCCTTTATTCCAAGATGAATGAATTCAGTGTTAAGACTATTGTAAAAAAAAGCAAATGAAACTCATGAAGACATCACTGCAGCTATACCAGCAAAAGTGTGAAAACCTTGCACTCTTTTTTTGAAATACCTTTTTATCTCATCTTGAAAATGCAGTTTTTATGTGGGTGCAGGATTGTTACAAGAAAGGCATACCTACGGACTCTAATATGCTTCAAGAAAAAATGAAGCCATTATATGAAAGCTTAAAGAAAAAGAAGGGTGAAGGATAATTTAATGCCAGGAATGGATGGTTTGATAATTTTAAAAAGAGGTTTGGCTTAGAATAAGTCAGAGAAGCCACTTTTGTAGACCAAGAGGCAGCAGATGAGCTCTCAGATGCCATTGAGAAAATCACTAAGGCAAAAAGATGCTCAAATAAGTTTTTATGTTGATAAAAGAGCTCTGTTCTGGAAAAAAGTGCCTCTGAGAACATGTATGAGTAAGGCTTAGGAGCCAGCATTAGGATTTGAGGTAGGAAGGATAGGCTAACTCTATTATTTTGTGCAAATATAGTTGGGTTTATGATCATGACTGCCCCTATCATATTATGAACGTGTGTATGTACTATTAATTTTGCTTTAAGTAGTAAATTATCTTTTATAGAGATAAAAAACTGAAGGAAAGGATATTCTGCATTTACCTACACATTTACAAATTCCAACTCAATTCATTTCTTTATGTACATTCAGATTTCTACCTTGTATTTCTCCTCCTTCTACTGAAGGAATTTTGTATATTTCTTAAAGAAAAGTCAGGAACACCGGAAATGTGTTCTTTCAGGTTTTGTTTGCCTGAAAGTGTCTTTACTACACTTTTTTAAAATACATTTTTCCACTTAGCAGAATTGACAGAATTTTTTCAGTAGTTGAAGATATTGATATGTTTTTCGGCTTGCCTAGTTTATGACAGGAAGTTTGCTTGTATTCTTTTCTATAATAATCTTATTGAGATTTAAATTATGTACTAATGTACCCACTTAATGTGGACAATTCAACGATATTCCCTACATGCATGGAGTTGAGTAGCCATCACCATTTTAGAGTATTTTCCATTCCCCAAAAGAAACCGTATACTCTTTAACTATCACCCTCAAACTCCTCCTCCCCCTAAAACCTAGGTAACATTAATCTACTTCACATATCTATAGATTTGTCAAGTCTAGATATGTCAGATACATGGAATAATACGATACGTGACAATCTGTGACTGGTTTCTCTCACTTAGCATAAATATTTCAAGGTTTATTCATGTTGTAGCATGAACCAATACTTCAGTCCATTTTACTGCCAAATAGTATTTCATTGTGTGGCTGTGTCACATAATATTTATCCATTCATCAGTTAATGGATATTGGTTGTTTCTTCCTTTCGACTTTTATGAACAATGTTGCTATGAACATTTGGGTACAAGCTTTTGCATTGGTATATTTTCATTTCTCTTGCATACATGCCTAAGAGTGGGGTGGTGGAGTCAAATGAAAAGTCCAGGCTTAACTTTTTTTCAGAAATACTGTTTTGCAAAGTGTTTGCACCAATTTACATTACATTTCTTCATATCCTCACTGAATCTGTTAGTGTCTATTGCTTTGATTACAGCCCTTTCAGTGGCTGGGAAGCAGTAACTCATCGTAGTACTGATATGCATTTCCTTAATGGCTACTGAGGTTAAACATGTCCTCAAGTGCTTGCTGAACATTTGTATATCTTTGCAGAAATGTCTATCAACTCATTTGCCCATTTTAAAATTGGGTTATGTGTCTTTTTATTACTGAGTTTAGATATTCTGTATCTATTTACAACTACCATGATTAGGAAGCTGCTGGTTTTTCAGGCTACTCGTAGAGCTGAGGAGAGCTGGACCACAACAGGGCAGTTAAAATGCCACAAGGCTAGCTGCTCTTACTAAAATTCCACCTTTTTCCCTTGAATAAATGCCCCTTAGATCTTTGCAAGTCTTTGGTCAATTTGAAGAGCTCTTAAAGATGTCAATATGATTTTGTTGCTTTTATGAATAGACAGATTTTTGGAGTTTTTTTTTTATTCCATCATTTCAGACATCTGGCTTATGATTCATTATATATTGTTTCTTTTTCTTTTCTTTAAACTGTTGTTTGGAAGTTATACACACTTCTAGTTAATATTACTATGCAATGAAACTACTCTGAAATTTGGTTTCTTTTTCTTTTTTTTTACTGTAGTATCATTAATATACAATCACACGAGCAACATTGTGGTTACTAAATTCCCCTAAAAATGCAGGATCCCAGATTCGAAATTTGGTTTCTTAAAGCAAAAACGAGTCTATGTATTAAAAATTGACCCAGAGCGTAGTGGAAACGGGTCGCCCCTCTCCTCTGTCTGGTACCTCACCTGGGAAGACTGAAGACTAGGAAGGAGTCCTCATTGGCCAGCTTATCCTTTGAACATTCCTTTGGGAGACCAGCTTTTTTTTTTAACAGTTTGTAAATGCTATTTATTACTTGAGAATTTAGATTTTTTTTTTTTCCTTCTCAATCTGTAGTGTACCCTTGGGTGTTTTATTTCAAGCTTCAGTTAGTGGTTCCTCAATCTCTATTTGAAGCACATTTTTCTTTCCTAAGCTTCACAATACAGCAGAAAAGTCTAAGCTCAACATGCCATAAACGCTCCTTTCCAACTCTAGACCTCTTAATATTTATTTCCTAAGGAATGTGTGCACAGTTCAGGAGTCTCTCCAACTAAGAAAACTGGGATTATGTCTCCCTCTTAAATCCCCAATTCACTGAATTTATTTCATTTCCTCTGAGTCAGCATTCTAACTTAAAATTTTATCTTGTCCATATCTATGTTGTAGCTATAGGTAAAAATACACTCAGTGGAGGCTTTAAACTCCGCATGTCAAGCATTTACTGATGGAATGTTCTATAATTCATAAGAACGTTTGTTAACATTTTTCAATATTACAATGGAATTAACATGGAATGTAGAAACGTCGAAACAATGAATTCCCTGAAGACAGGGACAAGGGCCCATTAAATACAGAATTATACAATGAAGGCAATAAATAAAATTTTTAAGGACCAGGATAGGAGACCCTTGGATGTGCTGCCTATGTTCAGAACTGACTGTGGTAAATTGTTAGTCCTGGGTGGTAGAATTAGAAATGACTGTTCTTTTTCTCTTTAGACAGTCCTATATTTTTCCAAATTTTATTTTATAATAAGAAAAAAATGTATCTTTACAACGTTTTTAACCTGCTTTTATTCTCATCACATTTTGCTTCCTGCTGAGTTTTGCTTGATTGCTCTTTCTCCCAGTTCTATTATCAATACTATTCTATTATGCGATTAAGATGATTTTGTGTCCAAAACTCAAGCACATTTTTGCTGAAACTGTGGAAGGAAAATTGAAGGTTGATAACCACAAGATCATCTGAAAATAAGCAGGCTACTGTGCAAGGTGAATAAATAGGCCAGAGGTAAAGGGAAGTATTATGGACAAAGAGGGATTTGTCATATGGGTGGATGAGAACTTCTGCCAGGTAGTTCAGAAGGCCAGATGACACCCACATGAAAATAGACTTATAGAAAATAGAAAGTTCATTTTTTAAAAATAATATTGTTTCACTGCACTGATATATGCTGTAGTAAAATTAAAATTAACATATGCATACACTGTAGTAGTGATGCGTTTAGGGGTTGGCTTTTGGTATTCCTGCACGACACAGCAGGGCTCAATGTTGCAGTGATTATATATGTATTCCCGGCTGTTGCATGAAGTCTTGCAAGTACCACGAACAAGGTAACATTGTCTTTTTCTTTTTTTGATTTCTCTTGCTGTTTTCTGTGAAGCTAGGAAAAAGTAGCTATGATCATGAATCCAGGTTCAATTCCTTGCACAGATGGGAAGACAGGTAAGTAAATACATTTATTTATACAGTTAAACCATTTTGTTTCTGAAATCGATGCCCATTAAGGAGTTTGGATTTTATCCCCTATATATTGGTACAATAAATATTTATTTATCCAACAATAGATCCTTTGCCACTGGTATTTTAGTTTTGTAAATAGTTATACTTAAATATCTAATGTATGCATGCTTCCTCAAGAGTAAAGAGAAAAGAATGAGGAGAAAATAGCAATTCTGTGTTCTAAATTGCCAACTACCTCTAACACCCTACCACCCCCCAAAATTACTGGACCAGTTACAGAAAGCTTAATTTTGCTAACAGCTACAATATCAGTTCATTAAATTGCATTTAAAAAGAGAAGGTAGTAGAAAACATGTAAAGAGTCAAAGTCTCATCAAACAAAATGACAAACAGGTTTAATTCTACATCTTGGATAATTTTTTCCCAACTTCTCAACTATCAGTTCCACTCATCTCTTCTTCCATGCAAAATAATTAGAATGAATTGCATTATGAATCATATAGTCTCCTAACAATGGTTTATTTTTCCAGAATAAAGCATTTATAAATTTCTTTTGCCTTTCCCTCCTTTTCCATATTAACAAATATTACCTGATGGACCACAAGACACAGTGAAGACAAAAGTCAGGAAAATACAAAGTATCTTCATTGCTGATACAGTTACTTGAGTAGAGTTGTGGCAGAGCTCAAAGTGTCTAATACTTGTGCTATTCCTTGGTAAAAAAAAAAAAAAAAGATAAACTGTTGTTTTTATAGCCTTCTCCGGGTGATTGCTATTCTGATTAATGCCTTCTTTCAAGACTGAGTACATATTCAAGGAAGTATTGTGAAACAGAAACAAACAGAAGAGAGGACTTGGTTCTATGACCTAAGTGAGCCAAAAGTGAACTCATTTTCAATTATACAAGCAAATAATGGGCTGAAGGTCTTTTTTAATTATTGAACTGAAAGCATATAATCAGCATATCTACAATTTCAGCCACATGCTTTCTCAAGCATTTATTATGTGCCAGGCAGTGTTCTAAGCACTTTATATAGATCAACCAGTTTCATCTACATGAAAAATTCTCTGACATGGGAACTTCTTATTTTCATTTGAAGAAACGATAGCACAGAGTGGTTATGCAATTGCCTCAAATCATGCATGGCGTGAGCAGTAAACTGAGATGAACTCTAAGGTAATGTACTGCCAGAATCCAGACTCTCAACTTCCACTTTCTCACAACTGAGTAACGGGCATTTCTCACGTGAAGTTGTTCTCTGTTCATATGGCCTGAGGCAGACACTGTTTCTGGAATTTAATTTTTCTACAAACAGAAAATATGTCTACAACATAGTTCTAGTAGTATTAGATCAAAATTTTTCATAGTTATGCTATAAAAACAATCAGTATAATTCTTTACACATCATGCAATGACTCAGTTATAGGATGACCTCATTCATAGGACAAAACAATATGTTAAAGTTGAAAGAGTGCTGGATTTAGATATAGAAAATTAATATTGGGATCTGGCTCTTCTCTTTACTAGGTATATATTGGGGATAAATATTCACTAACCGAGCCTCAAGGTTCTCTCCTTGAAGGCTGGATTGGAAACTAACTGGGCTGGTAACTCTAACTGCCCTCGTCATTGAGGAAAATGACAGGGTTATTCTATAATCTGATTTTTAAAAGCACTAATCTAGCTTCCTTGTTAACTTTTGTGCTTCATTCCTTATCCAAAACTGCCTATATTTTATAGTCAAACCATGAAAAATCTATTTTCTTAATATCCTCTTTGTAAAAATACCAAAAAGAACCCTTAACTGCTAGAGACTTAATAAGACCTACTGTATATAAGCAGAGCAAAATAGCAAGTATGAAAAATATAAGAGAAAACTAGGCCAGGCACTATCATCACAGTGATGTCATAGATACAAAGATGACGGAGGAAAAAAGGCCCCATTTTGCTTCAGAGCAGCTGTATCCATTTCATCTGCCTAAAATAAACCATTCCTATCAGACTGGAACATCAATTAAATGCTTAAAAATTGCAAGGTCTTTTCCCTCTTTGCTTAAATGTGAAGTTGGGACCATCTGAATCACAACATAAACATAAGGATTTGAGTGATTAGCATCTCAATTTTTCCAAGGCTAGAATGTAAGTAGAACCAAACTGGATGCAGAGGAGAGAAATTAATTTATTAATTTAGTACTTAAAATGGATATCTTAGGGCTTAACTTGGGAGATCCAGATTCTAGATTTCTTTTCTTTTTTGATATTGTTAACATACAACTACTTGAACAACATTATGGTTACTAGACTCCCCCTATTAGCAAGTCCCCCCCACATACCCCATTACAGTAACTGTCCATCAGCATAGTAAGATGCTATAGAATCATTACTTGTCTTCTCTGTATATACTACCTTTCCTGAGTGCCCCCCACCCTGCTACATTATGTGTGCTATTCATAATGCCCCTTTTCCCCCCTTATCCCTCCCTTCCCACCCATCCTCCCCAGTCCCTTTCCCTTTGGTAACTGTTAGTCCATTCTTGGGTTCTGTGAGTCTGCTGCTGTTTTGCTCCTTCAGTTTTTTCTTTGTTCTTATACTCCACAGATGAGTGAAATCATTTGATACTTGTCTTTCTCCACCTGGCTTATTTCTAGATTTCTATTAATAATTTTTTTTATGGGTGAAAGGCAGAGATGAAAGTGTGGGGAAAGGGGTAAGAATGAGATTGCAAGTAATGATTAAGGAAAAGAAAAGATACAGAGGAATTTTTTTTAAAGGAGTAGAGAATTATGTGAAGAACCTGAAGTATGTGAACCAAAGAACAAGAACTCATATTTCTACTGACTTGAGTCAGGATTTGTAGTTTTAGATGAAAAATGTAATTTTCTTCTGATGACTTTAGATGACCATAGCTAATAATTACACATTCAGAGCTACAGGTAAGGACTCTTGGAGTTGTAATTTCTTGGTGAAGACAGGGTGGCTGGGCTTTAGGGATGATGGGCTGAGATATGCCTACTAAGGGAGTTCTCCAGGCCAAGGCAGAGATGTTGAGAATGCTAGAAGGGTATGATGCTAAGAAAAGAGATAGTCAAAAGAAAATACGAGTCTTATGCTATTCTCATACAAGAGTTTCCAATAAAAACTTGCTACTTTCTACCACTTTTCTGCAAAAAGTCTTGGTTTGTTGGTCTGGCACTGGGTTTTTGCCCTTACATTCTAGAAATAAGAGCCTAAAATATCATTTTGGTCTCTTCGTGTTGCAAAACCATGATGCTATTTCCACTCTTTGCTCTGCACTACCGACACTATGCATTAATTTATACCCACCTTGCCAAAAAAAAAAAAATCCAAACCAAACGTTGTCTATTTCAATTCACTGATGTCTGCAGACTTTAAAGGTTAAGAATCCATTATGGCACTACTTTTATATACCAGTGACAGACTGATTGGCACTTTTGGAAATTTTCATATTGGAAAGAATCATAAAATTTTTCACAGAAAAGGATAATGAGGATCAAATAACCAAGAAAACAAAAGACTACATAGATGTAGTAAACTGAGATGAACTCTAAGGTAATGTACTGCCAGAATCCAGACTCTCAACTTCCACTTTCTCACAACTGAGTAACGGGCATTTCTCACGTGAAGTTGTTCTCTGTTCATATGGCCTGAGGCAGACACTGTTTCTGGAATTTAATTTTTCTACAAACAGAAAATATGTCTACAACATAGTTCTAGTAGTATTAGATCAAAATTTTTCATAGTTATGCTATAAAAACAATCAGTATAATTCTTTACACATCATGCAATGACTCAGTTATAGGATGACCTCATTCATAGGACAAAACAATATGTTAAAGTTGAAAGAGTGCTGGATTTAGATATAGAAAATTAATATTGGGATCTGGCTCTTCTCTTTACTAGGTATATATTGGGGATAAATATTCACTAACCGAGCCTCAAAGTTCTCTCCTTGAAGGCTGGATTGGAAACTAACTGGGCTGGTAACTCTAACTGCCCTCGTCATTGAGGAAAATGACAGGGTTATTCTATAATCTGATTTTTAAAAGCACTAATCTAGCTTCCTTGTTAACTTTTGTGCTTCATTCCTTATCCAAAACTGCCTATATTTTATAGTCAAACCATGAAAAATCTATTTTCTTAATATCCTCTTTGTAAAAATACCAAAAAGAACCCTTAACTGCTAGAGACTTAATAAGACCTACTGTATATAAGCAGAGCAAAATAGCAAGTATGAAAAATATAAGAGAAAACTAGGCCAGGCACTATCATCACAGTGATGTCATAGATACAAAGATGACGGAGGAAAAAAGGCCCCATTTTGCTTCAGAGCAGCTGTATCCATTTCATCTGCCTAAAATAAACCAATCCTATCAGACTGGAACATCAATTAAATGCTTAAAAATTGCAAGGTCTTTTCCCTCTTTGCTTAAATGTGAAGTTGGGACCATCTGAATCACAACATAAACATAAGGATTTGAGTGATTAGCATCTCAATTTTTCCAAGGCTAGAATGTAAGTAGAACCAAACTGGATGCAGAGGAGAGAAATTAATTTATTAATTTAGTACTTAAAATGGATATCTTAGGGCTTAACTTGGGAGATCCAGATTCTAGATTTCTTTTTTTTTTTGATATTGTTAACATACAACTACTTGAACAACATTATGGTTACTAGACTCCCCCTATTAGCAAGTCCCCCCCACATACCCCATTACAGTAACTGTCCATCAGCATAGTAAGATGCTATAGAATCATTACTTGTCTTCTCTGTATATACTACCTTTCCTGAGTGCCCCCCACCCTGCTACATTATGTGTGCTATTCATAATGCCCCTTTTCCCCCCTTATCCCTCCCTTCCCACCCATCCTCCCCAGTCCCTTTCCCTTTGGTAACTGTTAGTCCATTCTTGGGTTCTGTGAGTCTGCTGCTGTTTTGCTCCTTCAGTTTTTTCTTTGTTCTTATACTCCACAGATGAGTGAAATCATTTGATACTTGTCTTTCTCCACCTGGCTTATTTCTAGATTTCTATTAATAATTTTTTTTATGGGTGAAAGGCAGAGATGAAAGTGTGGGGAAAGGGGTAAGAATGAGATTGCAAGTAATGATTAAGGAAAAGAAAAGATACAGAGGAATTTTTTTTAAAGGAGTAGAGAATTATGTGAAGAACCTGAAGTATGTGAACCAAAGAACAAGAACTCATATTTCTACTGACTTGAGTCAGGATTTGTAGTTTTAGATGAAAAATGTAATTTTCTTCTGATGACTTTAGATGACCATAGCTAATAATTACACATTCAGAGCTACAGGTAAGGACTCTTGGAGTTGTAATTTCTTGGTGAAGACAGGGTGGCTGGGCTTTAGGGATGATGGGCTGAGATATGCCTACTAAGGGAGTTCTCCAGGCCAAGGCAGAGATGTTGAGAATGCTAGAAGGGTATGATGCTAAGAAAAGAGATAGTCAAAAGAAAATACGAGTCTTATGCTATTCTCATACAAGAGTTTCCAATAAAAACTTGCTACTTTCTACCACTTTTCTGCAAAAAGTCTTGGTTTGTTGGTCTGGCACTGGGTTTTTGCCCTTACATTCTAGAAATAAGAGCCTAAAATATCATTTTGGTCTCTTCGTGTTGCAAAACCATGATGCTATTTCCACTCTTTGCTCTGCACTACCGACACTATGCATTAAT